ATTCCAGGACTGAGACCCAGCAACAGTGAAGGAACGGCGATGTATTTCTAAGTCAGGATGGGGAGTGGCTACGTTGGGAACTTGAAGGAGATGGCGTTCCCATATATCTGCTGCCCTTGTCCTTCTAGGTGGAAGTGATCGTGGGTTTGGAAGGTGCTGTCTGAGGATCTTTGGTGAATTTCTGCAGTGCATCTTGTAGATAGTACACACTGCTGCTACTGAGCGTCTGTGGTGGAGGAAGTAGATGCTTGTGGATGTAGTGCCAATCAAGTGGGCTGTTTTGGCCTGGATGGTGTCAAACTTCTTGACTGATGTTCGTGCTGTACCCATCCAGGCAAGTGGGGAGTATTCCATCACACTCCTGACTTGTGCCTTGTCTAAAGAGAAATTTACAGATTCCTGACGTATACCACTAGCTACATTTTGACAATCTGACAAAGATTATTTAGCTCCACAACCCCAGCCTGTGATACACCTTTATCGATTACTTTGTGCGGATCTGCTGAACAGCCCACACTGTTCCCACTTGTTGGGCTGACATGACAGATGCTCAGACCAGTGTAAACAGGTTTAAATGGCCTAGAGGAAGTCTCGATATAGCCATAACACCCCCACTGCTTGTTCAATCTTATCAGTCAGATAATCACAGATAACTGAGCTATGAACAGCTGACTGAAACCACTCAAAGATCAGACTGGCGCTAAAAGAAGCATAGAGTTTGGGGAAGTTTTCTCCTGGTCTGTACAAGACACTGGGTTCCTGGTAAAAGACCCCTGTGGTAATGGAAGTGGTCAATAAATTTATAAAATACAGGTTGGTTTCTGCCTTAGTGATGTAAGTCAAACCTTTCGCTAACCTGTGCCAAGAGTCCATCAAAAGCCAGACCTTTCTAAACACTAACAGTCCCCTCACCACTTGTGCAAGGCCAATTATAGTTAACCAGCTCATCCTTTTCCTCTCCTTCTGAACTTGAGCAGGGTGGTTGGATAGCGTGAAGATACAGGGAGATGGGATCCGAGGTCAGTAACCTCCTCACACACTGTTTGGTGTGAGAATGCCCTGTAGCTACAACTCCCATTTCCAGGTAAATCTGTGAATCCACGAGGAGTTTCTCACAGCGTTTAAAAACACACACCCACTAGCCCCCAGCCCCGAACAGCAACCATTCTACCCCAGTATTCCCGAATCAGGGGCTTCTCTTGCTCTTACTGAAACAGCTCTGCAATTCCTCCCCAGATAACTGCTCAAAGAAAATGCACAGAAAATACTGGAGAGTCAGTCAAACTGTCCCTCGTTCACTGCTAACCCCGTCTTTCATTCAGTCCCTTTTGCTTCTACACATGCCCCTTACTACTGGCCTTGATACTGTGCACTATTCTCCCTCTCTCCCCGTCTCGTTATGCTGCCATTTACTGCTCCTGGGATTTGTTTTTCCCCCCATGGATTCTAATTCCTGAACCTGTTCTTGTAAAATGCTAATATCTGCAGACAGGCAGCGTTAGCTTCCTAGACAACAAGGTGCAGGGCTGGATGAACACAGCAGGCCAAGCAGCGTCATAGGAGCAGAGAGGCTGACATTTCGGGCCTAGACCCTTCATCAGAAAAGGGGGAGGGGAAGGGAGTTTTGAAATAAATAGGGAGAGAGTGGGAGGCGGATAGAAGAGGGATAGAGGAGAGGATAGGTGGAGAGGAAACAAACAGGTCGAAGAGGCGGGGATGGAGCCAGTAAAGGTGAGTGTAGGTGGGGAGTTAGGGAGGGGATAGGTCAGTCCAGGGAGGACGGACAGGTAAAGGGTCAGGATGAGGCTAGTAGGTAGGAGATGGGAGTGGGGCTTGAGGTGGGAGGAGGGGATAGATGGGAGAAAGGACAGGTTAGGGAGGCGGGGACGAGCTGGGCTGGTTTTGGGATGCGGTTGGGGGAGGGGAGATTTTGAAGCTTGTGAAGTCCGCATTGATACCATTGAGCTGCAGGGTTCCCAAGTGAAATATGAGGTGCTGTTCCTGCAATCTTTGGGTGGCATCGTTGTGGCACTGCAGGAGGCCCAGGATGGACATGTCGTCTGAGGAATGGGAGGGGGAGTTGAAATGGTTCGCGACTGGGAGGTGCAGTTGTTTATTGCGAACCGAGCGTAGGTGTTCTGCAAAGCGGTCCCCGAGCCTCCGCTTGGTTTCCCCGATGTAGAGGAAGCCACACCGGGTACAGCGGATGCAGTATACCACATTGGCAGATGTGCAGGTGAACATCTGCTTGATGTGGAAAGTCTTCTTGGGGCCTGGGATGGGGGTGAGGGAGGAGGTATGGGGGCAGGTGTAGCACTTCCTGCGGTTGCAGGGAAAAGTGCCGGGTGTGGTGGAGCTGGAGGGGAGTGTGGAGCGGACAAGGGAGTCACGGAGAGAGTTATCCCTCCGGAAAGCAGATAAGGGTGGGGAGGGAAAGATGTCTTCGGTGGTGGGGTCGGATTGCAGATGGCGGAAGTGTCGGAGGATGATGCGTTGGATCCAGAGGTTGGTGGGGTGGTACGTGAGGACGAGGGGGATTCTTTTTTGGTTCTTATTGCGTGGACGGGGTGTGAGGGATGAGGTGCGGGAGATGTGGGAGACACGGTTGAGGGCGTTCTCGACCACCGAGGAGGGGAAGTTACGGTCCTTGAAAAACGAGGACAACTGAGATGTACGGGAGTGGAATGCCTCATCCTGGGAGCAGATGCGGTGGAGGTGAAGGAATTGGGAATAGGGGATAGCATTTTTGCAGGAAGGTGGGTGGGAGGAGGTGTATTCTAGGTAGCTGTGGGAGCTTCCTCCTGGACATCAAAACCCAACACCACACAGCAGAAATCCCCAGGTCCTGTTTAAACCGGGCGCAGCTGATAGAGTCAGGGCCCCCAGGCTGTGTCTCAACATGAGCATATTTTCATTACCAAAGGCAGCATACACTATCCGAGACAGCACTGTGTTTGCGATTACAGCCAGGCAACGCTGAGCTTCCCCGCTCCGAGGGTGAACAATGTCGGGGGGGGTTAGAGAACCCCTCACTCAGCCCTCACATCGAAATCACACACCCCCAACACCTGCTCCTAACTCCTCGGTCGACTTGAGAAAGGCAGTTCGTTCACAGAATTCTCCCAGGTGTCCCTTTAACTGTCTCTCCCAAACAGAGTCATTTCAAGCATTCCTACCTTCCCTGAGCACAGGGAGTGAGTGACTGTATCGGCCAGAGGGACAGTGTGTCTTTCTATGCCTCGTCACTCTCTCTCCAGCTTTCAGATCGTGAACTGTTTATTGGACTGAATGGAGGACAATCAGATGCTCCCCCAGTGACCCCCCACCCCATACCCCCCTCGATGAGGGGCTGATTTAAGGAGCTGACTCTCCCCTTCCCAAAGTGCAGAGAGAGTGACTGTACAGCCAGACACATTGTATCCAGTCACAACAGGACAGTGTGGTTGAATCAAGGCCAAGCTCAGAAATGACTGGGTGTTGGAGATAAGAGATTTACAGTGCACACACACACCACTGACTACAGCTCTCAACATAATTAGACATTTAACCAGGAGGATTAAGACCTGACTGCAGAAACAGAACGTGAGGGGAATTATAACACACTCTAATCGATTATGCACTGTGTTCTCTCTCTCTCTCTCTCTCATACACACACACACACATACCCTCCCCCATGCACAGTAACCCAACACATGCTATCATCCGGCTCTGATATCAATTCTCCAAAGTGCCCCTAACCTATGACCTTGCAACCTGGATGTGATCTCTGCGCGCCAATCTATCTGCATAATACCCTCATTTCAAAGATCAGGGGTTCTGTACTCCTCTATAAACGCCCAGTATGTGTAAAATCCAAAACAAACACTGCATAGTGAACACAGAACTTCAGTGCCAAAACAAACATTTCACGCGGATAGGGTGGGAGAGAGAATTCGACATTCACTTTGGCTGCTGAACTTGCAATGTTTCTGTCCCACTGGCACTTCATTCCTGTTCAGGGCCTTATCAGATAAGGCCTGCACCGTCTCATTCAGACTGCACAGTGCACAGCCTGAGTCTGAAAGCCCAACCTTAGAGTCAACAACTCTCCAGTTAGACAACAAGTAAGTGCCTGTATCAGAGGTCAGTCAAATAATGACGCAGCACAGGAAAGGAACTTAAAACTACCTCATGCAATGACACAAACTCCCTCTGCACATCAAACATTCCCAGGGCAGGGACAGCACGGGGTTAGATACAGAGTAAAGCTCCCTCTACACTTCCCAATCTGCCTGAGCTCCACCCTCATGACCACCCCGTTCCCCCTTTAACCAGTGCAGCAGTTAGAGCTGATGGGGTTGGGGGGGTCAAATTTTGCTATGACTGACTCAACGCTGAGGAAGTGTGTTTTGATCAATGTGTTAGGCCAGCATTCATCCTGCCTATCATTGCACGAACCAGCTGACTTTTGTTATCCTCACTGACAAATTTTTCTAATCTCCCAGGATGTGAGCACATTCTCACTGTTTGGGGAATTGGACCTTATTTTAGCAGGAGGGAATAGCTGTCCCATGTACTCTCTCTGTGTTCCCATCCCACCTACTCACACAATGACACTGTGCTCCATCTGACAAAGTCCAGTTTAATCCCCAAGGCCTGACTGAAACAGTCTCTTTGAAGACTGGGAAAACATTCCCAGCAGTTCGTTCACATGTGGTTCTGACTCAGTGACCCAGAAATAACTAACAGGCAGACAGCTGCTTTACCCAGGAATAGGCAATGACGGGCAGTAGGGACTGCCATGTTTACAGAGCAAGATCCTGGTTATGAACAGGCTCCACAAACTTCTCTCCTCTCCCGGCCCACCAAACCCATCGGCTTTGCACAGCAGGATCCCACACCCAGTAATAACTGGACCCAGAGACCCTCCTGGCATTACACAGCAGAATCCCACACCTAGCGGCTGGGAAAGGTCCGCCCTCCGTGTTCCGCAGTTGTTCTGTGTGTACTCAGTCCCTTACCGGTTGCTGTAGCTTCTGTTTCTGTCTCTCCTCTCACACACACACCCTCACTGTCCCAGCGGCTGTGCCCGGCTCCGGGGGCTGCCCTCCAACTGACTTCGCTTCAACTGCACTCGCCAAAAATGACAAAGCATCGACAAACCCGCCCCGTCTCAGACTGAGCCCTCCCTCATCCCACAGCAACCCAGTCCGGCCCCGGAAGCACACAGACACACACAGGGTAGTACCAGTGTCACTGCATTCATCTACCAGCTAGCGGATACAGAGAGAGAGAGAGAGAGCACCACAGTACAATACTAATGTAGCTGCATTCATCTAGCACCGAGAGAAACCCAGCAAAATGTCAGGCTGGCCCCCAGGACACCCAGTGCATACACACACAGAGGGAGAGCACAGGGCAATGCTAATGTAACTGCATTCATATAGCATCTAGTGGATATGGAGACAGAGAGAAAGAGAGACACCATGTACAGTACTAATGTAACTGCATTCATCTAGCACCAAGTGAAACACAGCGCTGTCAGGCCAATCCCAGCACACCTAGTGCATATACACAGAGAGGGAGACCACACGGCAGTACTAACGTAACCACATTCACTAGCGCCTAAGTGGATACACACAGACAGAGTGAAATAGAAACACCACAGTACAATCCTAATGTAACTGCATTCATCTAGCATCTACAGGAACACAGTAAGCCAGCCCCGGGACACCTAGTAAATACACAGAGTGAGATCACAGTGAAAAACACACACAGCATCTGGTTTATTAATGTACTTTAAAGTAAGAAGTCAGCCCTCCTTATGGTTGCCATCTGAAAGGACCTAGAAATCCAAGTGGTTGTATAGGAGTGCCATAGAAATAGCCCCCAGCCTCTGGGCTGAGCAACAGAATACAGCCCTCAGAGGCCTCCAAACTGACCCTGAGAGGGGTGGACCCTGTACGTGAATTAGCAGAGCTGTCCCACAGGCCAGTCAAGTAGTAGGCGGACATAGACCCATGGAATCCGACTTTACAATGTCCCACACTCTGCTATCAGCCAGATGGTTTGTGATTAATATATAAACAATATAAATGAGAAGGTGGGGAGACAATGATAAGAGAGGTTGGATAAGTTCAAGCTGTTTTCTTTGGAGCAGAGAGGGTTAAAAGGGGACCTGATCGAAGTGTATAAGATTATATGGGGCAAGGACAGGGTGTACAGAAAGCAGCTGTTCCCCTTGGTCAAAGGGTCAATAAAAGGGGCATAAGTTTACAGTGAAAGACCAGAGGTTTTGACAGGATTTTAAATAAAAATATTTTCACCCAGAAGGTAGAGGGGATCTGGAAATGCACTGCCCAGGAGGGTAGTTGAGGCAGAAACCTCACAACCTTTAAAAACCCAGCTATGCTTGCCTGTTTGTAGGTTATGTCGAACAGTCCCTCTTCAGTACATACACTGGTACTGTTCCCCAACTCTTCCCCCATTACATAGATGCATCAGTGCTGCATCCTGCACCCAGGATGAACTGGAGCAGTTCATGAACTTCACTAACAACTTTCACCCGGCCCTCAAATTCACTTGATTTCTCTCAGACACCTCCTTCCCTTTTCTTGAAGTCTCTGTTTCCATTTCATAGAATCATAGAATCCCTACAGTGTGGAAGCAGGCCCTTCAGCCCAACACGTCCACACCGACCCTCAGACCATCCCACCAAGACCCATCCCCCTATAACCCACCTCATCTACACATTCCTGAACACTACGGACAATTTAGCATGGCCAATCCACCTAGCCTGCACATCTTTGGACTGTGGGAGGAAACCGGAGCACTCGGAGGAAACCCACGCAGACTCGGGGAGAATGTGCAAACTCCACACATTTCTGCTAACAGTTTATGGATCAACATTTACTATAAATCCACAGACTCCCATAGCTACCTAGACTACACCTCCTCCCACCCTGTATTCTGAAAAAACTCAATTCCGTTTTCCCAATTCCTCAGTCTCTGTCGCATCTGCTCTGATAAGAAGACATTCCACTCCCAAGCATCCTGGATGTCTGCCTTTTTCAAACAATGCTCTTTTCCCACCTCTGGCATTCAGACAGCCCTCCACCGTGCCTCCTCCATTCCCTGCTCCACCCACCCACCAAACATAATAAAGATAGGGTCCCCCTTGTCCTCACTTTCCACCCCACCAGCCTCTGCATCAAACGTATCATCCTCAAACACTTCTGCCAACTCCAATTAGACCCCACCACCAGGAACATCTTCCACTCCCCACAACTCTCTGCCTTCTGCAAGGACCGTTCCCTTCGCCACTCCTTAGTTCATGCCACACTCCCCACCAAGCACTCCAACCCGCCCAGTACCTTCCCCTCTAACCATAAAAGATACAACACCTGCCCACACACCACCTCCCTCACCTATACTCAGGGCCCTAAACAGTCCTTCCAAGTGAGACAGAACTTCACCTGCATCTCCTCCAACCTAGCCTATTACTTCCGGTGCTCCCGATGTGGTCTTCTTTACGTCAGTGTGACCAAACGCAGACTACGTGACCGTTTCACTGACCATCTCTGCCTGGCCTGTAATGGCCAACCTAACCTCCTGGTCATCTCCCATTTCAAACCCCACCACCAACACCACCCAGCCACCACCCCCGCCCCCACCCACAACATGTCCATCCTCAGCCTCCTCCAGTGTGGCAGCGAACGAGAACACAAATTTGAAGAACAACACCTTATCTTCCTGGACACCCAACAGCCTGTAGGACTCAACATTGAGTTCTCCAATTTCAAATAACATTCCCACCTATCCCCTAGTTCCCTTTCCAGCCCACCAGCCTCTGCATCTAACGTAACCCCTTCCATTCCACCTACTGACCCTCCCTTCCAGCCATCAACTGGATTCAACCCTCCCATCAACCAACTAGGTCATACCTGCCACCAGTGTCCACCTATCACCACCAATCTGTTAAAACCCCCACATATATCTGCAGCTCCCCCTCCCCCCACATCCAGTCGTGAAGAAGGGTAATACCCAAAACGTTGACTGCTCCTTTCCTCCAGATGCTGCCTGGCCTGCTGTGTTCTCCCAGCCTCCTGTTTGCCTACCTTTAAAAAGTCCTTGGATGATCATTTGAAATGTCATACTGTTCAAGGCTGTGGGCCTAGTGTAGGAAAGTGGGAATAGCAAAGATAGGTTGGTGCAGACATGAAGGGCTGAAAGGCCTCTTCTATGCTGTATGACTCAATGACCCTCCCTGGATCTGGCAGAAGTGTATAGTCCAGTGGCACACAGTCAGGAAGGAGACAGCATTTGCACTTCTTACAAGTGTGTTGGACATAGCAAAACACTTTAGAGCCATGGGTGGGTTTTGGAAATGTCATCACTGTTGTAATAAGCACAACAGCCAGTTTGTACACAGCAACGTCTTCCCAGCAGCTGTGTGACAATATAGTAACATAGGAACAGGAGGAGGCCATTCAGACTCTTGTCCCTGTTCTGCCATTCAATGAGATCATAGCTGATATGTGGCCTCACTCTATATACCTGACTTTGGCCCATATCCCTTTGCTTAACAAAACTTCATCTATCACAGATTTAAAGTAAAATTTTAGATTTTATCCACCAATAAAATTAAAATCATCAGCCAATAAAATCTGATCTGGAAGAGAGTTCCAAATCTCTCCCACCCTTTTTGTTTTGAAGTGCTTCCTAACATCTCTCCTGAATGGTCTGGCCCTAATTCTCAGACTATGTCCCTAGTTCTCGAATCACCAACCAGTGGAAAGAGTTTGCCTTTATCTCCCCTGTCCTTTTCAGTTAATACCTTGAAGACTTCAATCATATCACCCTTTTATCCTTCTAAATTCCACAGAAAATAGTCCCAATTTGCATAACGTCTCCTCATAACTTAACCCCTGAAGTCCAGGTGTGTTTCTTGTAAACCTACATTGTACTCCCTCCTAAGATGTGGTGCCCATATCTGCTCACAGTACCCCAAGAAGGGTCTATCCAGGTTTTTGTATAACTGCAGCATAGCTACTGCAGCCTTGTACTCCAGTCACAGAGCCATACAGCATAGAAACAGGCCTTTTGGCCCACAATCTCTATGCTGGCCCCAGTCCTCTAGATATAAATGCCAGTGTTCCATTAGTTTTCTTGATTATTGTCTGTTCATGACATTTTAAGATCTATGCACCTGAACCCCCAAGTCTCTTTGGACAGCCACTGTATTTAACAGTACCGTCAACTATGCTTTCTCAGTCCTCAATGGATAATCCCATGCTTGCTTATAACGAACTCCGTCTGCCACAGTTTTGCCCATCCACCCAGTCCATCAATAGTCCTTTGTAATTTTATGCTATCATCTGCACTGTCTACAATGCCACCTAGCTTTGTGTCATCAGCAAATTTGGATATATGACTTTCTATGCGATTATCCAATTGTTAATAAATAATATGATTAATTGAGGCCATAACACAGATCCTTGTGGGACACCACTGGTCAGATCCTGCCAATTTGAGTTACGTACCCATTATCCCGACATTCTGTCACTTTTCACTCAAACATTTTTCCAGCCTGTAAGTAATTTGCCCTCATTTCTGTGGGCTTCTACCTGAGATAACAGCCTTTGATGTGGGACTTTATCAAATGCCTTCTGGAAGTCCCTATAAACAACATCCACAGATATTCCCCTGCCCACTACCTTCATCACCTTAATTGAGGGGTAAATGGTATTCAGGTCACTGGAGAGAATTCCCCTGCTCCACGGTGACATGGGACCATTTCTACCCACCCAAGCAGACAGATAAATTCTCAGTTTACCACTTTATCTGAAAGACAGAACCTCCAACAGTATTGCATTCCCACGGTACTGAATACCACCTCCCACTCCCCCATCCCGCCACCCCCTGCACTCCATGTTGAACACCAGTAGAGGAAGCGCTGAGGTTGGGAAAGGCACAAAATATACTCTGAATTTCATAGTCCACCACCAAGAGTGGCTCAGCAGCAGTACTACTGACTGAGCTGTTTGGGTCCTAAAGGACACAGCTGCTGGACTGGGTCTGCAGCAGGTGGTGAGGGAACCAACAAGAGGGAATAAACATTCTTGACCTAATTTTTACCAATCTACCATGACAGTATCGTTAAGAGTGACCACCACACAGTCCTTGTGGAGACAAAGT